AAATAGTCGCTCCAAGCCTGGGGCGTGTCATTCAGACTCTGTCTTCTCGACAGACCTGTTCTACACCTGAGGACGGCTGCTTGCGTTGTGGCCGAAACGTCGTGAGAATTATTTTATTATGTTTTTTTTTATTTTATTATCTCCATTCTACGTGACTTTACCGAAAGAACCAAGAATATGGCGAAACGATCATCCAGGGCGGGTTGAGGCCTTCATCCAACAGCGGATTGACAGGCGAGGGGACCTGATGATTGAAAGTGAAAATCCTTGAGCAAGAGCCGTTAAAGGGGCAGCAAACGGAGTCACTGGGGTAGGGAGCGTTTAAGAAGAAACGAACCGGAGTTATATCCGGGAGAGTAAGAAAAGAAGAAGAATTTCGCCTTCCAATGCGCCGCTCGCCGACTCGCGGAGGCGCGAGTCAGAACCGCAGAGAAGCAGGAAGGCAGCTGTGGAGGAGCCGGCGCTAACCAACAATTGTCCAAGCTCTGCAGGTCCTCTACATATACGGAAGAAGAAGAATGTCACCTTTCAACGCGCCGAACAACTCGGAGGCGCGAGTCGGAGCCGCAGAGAAGCATGCAGGCAGCTGTGGAGGAGCCGGCGCTAACCAACAATTGCCCAAGCTCTGCAGGTCCTCTACATATACGGAATACAAAGAATGCCACCTTGCAACGCGCCGAACAACTCGGAGGCACGAGTCGGAACCGCAGAGAAGCGTGCAGGCAGCTGTGGAGGAGCCGGCGCTAACCAACAATTGTCCACGCTCTGCAGGTCCTCTACATATACGGAAGAAGAAGAATGCCACCTTGCAACGCGCCGAACAACTCGGAGGCACGAGTCGGAACCGCAGAGAAGCGTGCAGGCAGCTGTGGAGGAGCCGGCGCTAACCAACAATTGCCCAAGCTCTGCAGGTCCTCTACATATACGGAATACAAAGAATGCCACCTTGCAACGTGCCGAACAACTCGAAGGCGCGAGTCGGAACCGCAGAGAAGCGTGCAGGCAGCTGTGGAGGAGCCGGCGCTAACCAACAATTGTCCAAGCTCTGCAGGTCCTCTACATATACGGAATACAAAGAATGCCACCTTGCAATGCGCCGAACAACTCGGAGGCACGAGTCGGAACCGCAGAGAAGCGTGCAGGCAGCTGTGGAGGAGCCGGCGCTAACCAACAATTGCCCAAGCTCTGCAGGTCCTCTACATATACGGAAGAAGAAGAATGTCACCTTTCAACGCGCCGAACAACTCGGAGGCACGAGTCGGAACCGCAGAGAAGCGGGAAGGCAGCTGTGGAGGAGCCGGCGCTAACCAACAATTGCCCAAGATCTGCAGGTCCTCTACATATTAAGGTTTAATCGGGCCAATTAATGATGACTGTCTTCACGTGGGAGAAAACCGAATCATCCACGCGTGGCAAGGGGGAAACGCTCTATCCCTCGTACAGACAGAGCAGGTGGAGTCCACATTTGCTGTGCTGCCTTCCGGCGAGCCAGGGATATGACTCCTTGACACCCACGGGCAAGAAGGCCACAAGGTCTTCTTGGTTCTTTCGGTAAAGTCACGTGGAAGGGAAATAATAAAATAATACAAATTAAACATAATAAAATAATTCTCACGACGTTTCGGCCACAACGCAAGCAGCCGTCCTAAGTTGCCTTGACAAAATAATTTGTCAAGGCGCTCTTCCCCCTCCAACCCAGCTTAAATATACGCTCCAAGCCTGGTGGTGTTTCATTAAGACGCTGTCTTCCCGACAGACCTGTTCTTCACCTGAGGACGGCTGCTTGCGTTGTGGCCGAAACATCGTGAGAATTATTTTATTATGTTTTATTTTCATTATGTTATTATTTCCCTTCTACGTGGCTTTACCGAAAGAACCAAGAAGATGAATCCCTGCAGTCACGAAAGCTTTAAATCGAAAAGGCCACAAGGTTTCTAAAGGCATCGTGAGACTTGTGTAGACGCTGTTGTTGTTGTTGTTGGATGGCCCATTCAGGAGGCACCCCTTGCGTGTATTCTCGTTGCGATGTTCGTTTAAGATTCCGCATGGTGCCGCTGCTGCCGCCTACTCCTCCCTCCTCCCTCTGTTGCCCTCGCCTGATGACATCATTCGCGACAATGACTTACAGAAAAACACAAACATCTTATTGCCCTCTTCTTTTTTTAATAAAACCTCTCCGTGTTCCTCTGTTCAATTTCCCGAAAAATTGTTTCATTATGTTGGCGTCTAGACACTCATCGTTGCTTGCTTGCTTTGCTCACTGATATTGTGAAACGTTTCGGTCACATCATTCTATCAAACGTAGGATTAGGGGCTTTGATTATTATTCTTTCTCTGGCTTGTAGATATTATAACACACGTGTTTAATAAGTCGCCTCTGGTCTCCGAGACGTACATTTTTATTTAGTTACATATTTCTCCACCGCTCTTTGAGCCCATTTTGACAGCAGTGGCGTAGGGACTGAAACGGCGTCTCGTGCTAGCGAATTCGCGGTGCGGTGGCGAGTGGCATTCGGGTGCCGAGGAATATCTGAACCTTCCCCGGAGCTCTGCTCCATTCATTTAACCAACCTAACACCGCTCATCGTGGTGAAGTATGGTCACGCAATCCCCCATGATGATCTTTATCGAGCAGTGGATTGACAAAGGTTACGTGTCCTTGGTCAGATGCGTAACGGATTCAACGATTCGTTCCGACTTATTCGGCCTCAAATAATGAACACCTTTGGATTCTTATTTCTGATTTTCAATTGCAACTTTCTGCAAACGCGTCTCTCTATATATATATATACACACGGACACAGGCAGAAATCATATCGGTCATAAATTGTACTCTTTAAAAGCATGTCTACGGCCATATAAAAAAAGAAAATGCACAAATATACTTTAGTGTGTCATATAAGGGGTCTTGTCCATAGATTTATGCTCATACAGGTGCCTACAGTTTACGCGTCATAAATCATAAATCATTTAGGAATTTAATATTTATGTATAAATATTTCAACACGGGGCTGTTTCTATTTTATTTTAGGACAGCAATCCCAGGCACCACGCCGTACACCCCCCCCCCCCACCTCACTGCTCTCTTGCTGACCGCTGCCAAATATTGGAGCATGTCACCCAAAAGGCCATTTCACCCGCACCTGACCGCTCCTGCAGGCCCGCCAATGCTGCTGTGACAGCGAGCCGATTTGCCTTTCTTAACAATAGCGGGGGTCTCTCTCCTGCCTCCTCTGGCTATCACCGACCACCATTCGTCCTCAATATCACCTCGATATATATACACGCACACACACAATAAAAAAACGCCACTCCCGCAACACTACTGCAATCATCATCATCATCATCTATGAAAATGTCCGTAATCATCATCATCATCATCGTCGTCGTTTGTAAAGCGAAGAGCGTGTTCCTATCCACCCACCTGTTTGCCCGCTCACAAGCAACGTGCAAAACGAATACGCGCCCTCGCTCGGCATGGCCAGTAGCGATTTCTCTCTCTCTCTCTGTCCATCCGCATTGCCCGTGTGTCTATCTTTCTGCACCTCGCCTAACGTGCGAGCGATGATTAACACGCTACGCCTGCGTGCGTGCTGCGGATATTCGCACGGGCGCTGCTATACCCCCGTGGCTTTGTCCATCATCCCGTTTCGAAAGGAAGACGAACCCCCCCCCCCCATCCACCCCCCCCCCCGCCCAAATATCGCGCACGCAGCTCGCTCAAGCGCGCACTATTCGTGTCGCTGTCATTGTCCTGTCAACGTCGATGGGGTGGATGTGTGGCTTATACGTAATGTGCTATGATTTTTCTTCTTCTCGCTCCGGTGACCGGGTATTGTCAAATAAATATATAAATGTACACACCGCACGCAGGCGCGCGCGCGCGCGCAAATATACGGGCGTGAAAAGATCGCTGTGTCGGTGACGAGTAAAGGAGCATCAGCGAGAGAGACTAATCGATGTAATATTTTGCGATCGGTAGGCACGCTGTTAACACGGGTAGCAGCGTTATCGACGACACACGCTACAACTAATGCTTAATTTAAAGACGACAACAACAATAACAGCGATTGCATTTCAAAGTAAGATCCTCCTTTAAACAAAAAAAACCCCATCGGTCTTAAGAACTCATTGAGGCTTCCTTAGCTCAAGGAGAATTGCTACCCTCGATCAATAATGAATTCACGACGTGTCCGATTCCACGCACAGAGCCCTCGTCTCAATGCACACGAGGCAACAGCAACAGTCCGGCTGTCCCACGCCTCCGTGGGCATATTCAGAGACGGTGAAACAAACACACGAACAAACGCAAGCATCCTAACGGCGTGACTCTCCTGCGAATGAGTCGCGAGACTCACATCAGGAAGCATGACAACCCTCGACACACAAATGAGACATTAGCACTCTCGTCCCACGTTTGGCTCGGACGTGCGCATGACAACACGCGCGCGCATATTTTGCATCTCCGTTGAACGTGAAATTTATTTTTCGTTCAATAAAAATCATACTAAAAAGCTGTACCCTCTTGAAAATGAGTGCCGAGACTCGTCGATGGTTGGCTTTGCCAAGAGAAAAAAAAAACAGGGAGAATTACTTTCTACCCTCGATAAATAATTCATTACCCCAGACTATCCACGCTCCCCGTCTGTATCGCTCACCCATCTCGCACCTCCTTTGATCGTACGTCTCGCAGCGACCCTCCTGAAAACAAGTCCCGAGACTCAGACGCGCTATCTCTGTCCGAATCAAAAAAAAAAGATTAAACCAACAATTACTCTACCCTGGACGAATAGTGAATCACAACGGCGCTGCCTGTCCATCACTCACTGTGCCCGTACGCGTTGCAGGCGCGCGTCTAACACAAGACAAAGGTGCTCCTGCGTAGCCTTTGCAGCCTGTTAGGGGCAAATGCTGTCAGCGAGCACCTGGTGAAGGTGCCGACACGGCACGCGTGGCTATTAAACGCACAGACACAGGCACAGGCGGACGACGGCACTCACATCTCTGTGACGTTGCCCATATCCGGAGCCGTCTCGAGCACGGGGAAGGCTCCCAGGGTGTTGAGCTGGCTGCAATTGAGTCGGCCGGGCACGGTGCAGTTGCACGCGTCCGGACATGCCGAAGACGACGCGCCGCTCGTCGACACGACGACCAGAAGTCCCGCAGCGAGAAACCAGGAGGAGGACCTCATCGTCCTACTCCTCCTCCACATCCTCCTCCTCCCGGCTGTTCCTTGGATGGACGACGATGATGACGACGACGACTCCTCCATCGTCGATGTCTCCTTCATCCTCTTCGTCTTCTTCTTCTTCTTCGGCGACTCGCCTCGCTCTGGTGTCTCTCCTCTAGGCGCCCACTTGGTCCACGGCGAAGAACGGCGGCGGCTGTGGCCGCAAGCGCATTACATAACGGAGTGTTCGAAAGGTGGTGGTGCGTAGTGAGTTCGTCTGCGCGCGCCTGTGTGTGTGTGTGTGTCTGCGTGTGTGTGTGTGTGTCTGCGTGTGTGTGCGCGCGCGCGCGCGTGTGCGTGCGTGTCTCTGTGTCTCGTGATACCAATTTGAGTGCACGGATTGATTGGCCCGCCCGATAGCCCCGTTATTCTGTTTCAGAATAGATTTTTCGTTTTTTTAAACAACCGATTCGAAGAGGTCGATGTTGCGTCGAGGCGCGGCTTGTCGGGGTTTAGACCGACGCGAGGAATTCGGAGGACGGATTGAAATCGCGCAAAGTTGATGCGCAACTGGGATTCAGCAACAAACCCACTCGGTCGGAGTCTTCGCTTGAGAACGAGACGGCGCCAAATGACGAAAACGATGATGATGGTCAATGTTTCCCCCCCCCTGCCTCCGAAGCAATGATTTCACACACCTCGATCCTATTTCCGTGAATAATTATAATACTAATGATGATGATGGTGGTGGCGGCGGCGGTTGCGGTAATTCTGACGAAGACGGAGCAGCAATTAGTTGTCCGGACTCGGTCGCGTGGTCCACTCCGTCGTGACGCCGCACGAATTCCTTGATGGATTCGCGTTGCGCGCTCGTGCAGCGAGGCGCATTCCCGATTTTCAGCCCGGGGCAGCGAGCAGCAACAGCAACAGCAGCAGCGGGCCGAGCATCAGCGACGGCAGCGGTTCTCGCGAGCTCAGCGGCAGCAGCGGCAGCAGCAGCAGCGGCAGCGGCAGCAGCCCCCCCGCTCTGCGCTCACTCGCTCATTTGAAACGCGGAGCGCGGAGCCGTCGAGATGACGCGGCGCGCCCGCTGCGTGTCTGCGTCACGGCGCACCGTTTCTATTTCGCTTCTCCGCTTTCGCTCTGCTCCTCCGCGCTGCTTCTGTCAGGAGGTGGGGGTGGGGGAGGGGGGATGCAGAGAGCTGGAGTCCCCCCCATGTGGCTGCCAGTGGGCAGTGGTTCCACCGTGAGGATGACGGTGGAGAGGATTATGTGGTGGTGGTGGTGGTGGGTGAGGGTCGTGTGGCTGCGTTGTAAGATGCGGTGCGGTGGGCGCACCCATCGGAACGGGGCGACCTCTTAATTATTGTTCGACGGTTCGACTTAGCCCATCCTTCCTTCTGGGTTCATAAAATGGGTACCAATTTGTCGGAAGGTCGGCAACGGTAGTCTTAATTATGAAGTCTTGCTGAAGATCGCTAAGGGGTAGGGGGGGGGAGAAACGCCTCCCAAAGATCGTTTCAGCAGTGGAGCACACGCGACACCAGCATGCGGCAAACTGTGACCATGACGTGTACAGAATGAAGGCAAGTAGACACACACACACTTCTAAATTCATCATCATCGTCAGCAGCAGTAGTGGCCGTGATCTATCCACCGCTGGATGAAAGCCTCTCCCAAAGAGCCATCACCATTCGCTCACGAGCAGGCGCTGCAACAATGGTTGCACCGAGGCTGCCACAATTGCGCGAGCTGATTTCATCGCTGGTAAAAAATTAAAATTAATAAAAGTTTAAATGAAAATAAAATAAAAAATCACGACGTTTCGGAGGCAACACAAGCTTCCGTCTTCAGGTGGAACCGTCACAGCACGATAGCTGTATCAAGTAAGATTGCTGTATCAAGTGAGATACAGCTATCGTGCTGTGACGGTTCCACCTGAAGACGGAAGCTTGTGTTGCCTCCGCAACGTCGTGATTTTTATTTTATTTTAATTTTACTTTTATTAAATTAAATTTTTTACCTACGTGACTTTACCGAAAAAAAACCTACGAATATGAATCCTTGCAGTCACGAAAGCTTCAAATCTAGAAATGATTTCATCGCTGCCATCTCCAGGGCGGACGTGCCCGTGTTGACGCCTTCCATCCCTGCGTCTGCCACTCCGTCGTTACCCTTAACGGTCAAGAATTACCCTGCCCAAAATTCACGATCATGATTCCGGCTTAAGAGCGCAACAAAAACTAAAAAAAAAACCCAACCAGTATTTCACCTTTTAGTGCCGGCTTCCTGACACTACGCGTGATTAGCTTTGGAATCCCACGATCCCAAGTGGGCCTTATTACTTTTATTTGTGGTGTAAATTTTGGGCTTATTGTTGTCATGACCGAGCCTCGCACCTACCCAGCCGCCCCCGCCCCCCTGCCGCCCTGACCCCCTGACCCCCACCCCGCCCCCACCTCGAACCCCCTCCACCACAAACATTGGGGGGGGGGGGGTGGCCCTTATTACATGTCCTGTATATGTGAATCGTGAAGCGTAAATCGTATTTATTTTAAATGTAATATCACCTCCACTCAAGGGGGTGTCAAAACATTGTACACTAAATTAAACGGAGCACATATGTGCTCGCTACACCTGCAGGGGACTCTATGAAGAAGGGCCGTTGACCGAAACGTCGGTCATTATATATATTTCATGTATTTAAGGCCAGTCATTGACGAGCGTGTTGGGGTTGTCTCTTGTTATTTGTGCTTTTGCACCAATGCCAACTTTGTGGTGAAATTAGCGGCCTCTGAAAGCTGCATTGATCCGGTTAAATACACGTTACACATCACCAAAACGGTAGATGAATCCAAAAAGCATCCATACATTTATTTGTGCGCTTAGATAATCGATATCAATCGATGGATTGTTACATCCCTAATATATTTGGAATGCATCCAGTTAAATATTAAATCCAGAGTTCATCGTTTAACCTAAGGCCTACTCGATGAGCCAAACTTAACGCTTTTACCAACTCGGGCTTAAAGCGATTACGCATTGATGGTTGTTCTGTGTGTAACGGGGATGGCACGCTAACTCTCATAAAGGTGATGCAATGAATGCGAACGAAACTGTAACGTAAACTCGTGTTGCTTTTCGGAACACGCCCTATTGAAAATAGACCAACATTGATCCAAAGGGGTGAACCTTAACCTTTGAGACGGAATTCAGAACAAGGAATATCTCGGCATTGGGGAAATATGCAAATGAGACTTGCTGCAAGAGAGCTCTCTCGCTGGCCTTACAAAATATGCACTTCAAATTAAATACCTTCGAAGACAGAACGCCTGCTGTAAAGTTTAGCATAACATGCTTGTGCGTGATTTTTCCTAATTTGTCTGCTTTTGTATGTTTTTTTGGAGTGATCAATAGTTTATTCACACTGTTGTGTTTGCTCGTGTACGAATGGGAAATTATGTTGTCTGCGACGGTTTTGTTGTTGTTATTGTCGTTGCTGTTGTTGCTGTTGCGGTAAAAACCCCACAGCGAATTGTAAACAACCGCGTCGCATTCTGTTCGGCGAACAAAGCGCAGATAATGAGATAGACTCGACAAATGCTCGTGCTTTGGATTTTAGTTCACGCGTGAACTATTTCTTGGGATGGGCAAGTGCAGGCAATGGATGGCTAATTCCCCATTCGAACGCGGATTTAATATGATTGCGTAAAACGACCACGGCGTCAAATTTGCATATCGGATTGCGGCTAAAAATGTCGCTACTGCACCTACTGAGTTATCTTCTCAGTCGTTTGTTGTCCCTTTTGTGCAATCCACTGCTGGATGAAGGCCTCAGAACCCGTACCGTGTCGGTGGTTGAGTGTGGGTTGACCATACTTCACCACGCCGGTAAGTGCTGATGGGTGGAGGGGGGACGCAGTACCGGTTTAGATATGAACTGACTACAGCTGATGATAGCCCTGGCTGGGAATCAAACTCTGGTCTCCGGATTCAGAGCACGGAGTGCTAAACACTTCACCACCGCTCATCGCATACATGCCTATCCCACCCATAATATCGGCACTCTATACAAAGTACAGTATATATATATGTGTGTACCATTCAATGTTTTGCAAATTCAAAGGGACCAATTGCAAATGATATGTTTAGTGTGTTTGGGTTTGTGGTTTGTGCAATAACCTTCACAGTATGCCCTCTAGTGGTGTCATAAAAAGGTTGGGGTCATTGGTTTAAAGGCTTAAAAAAACACAAGCGTTCGAATATAAAAACCCTTACAGAATATTAATGTGTTATGAAGAAAGGCCAATGCCCGAAACGTCGCATGTTATAATAATACTTTTTTTCATTTTAACACCACAGTGTGATTTGTTATTGAGCACCACTGCCAACGCAGCAGCAGCAGCAGCGTCACCAAATAATTGGCTTACGGATTATATTGATCAGCGCTGGGAATGTACAGGCAGGAGCTGTCCGGTGCTGATCTCCGGAAAATGTCTCCGCACCCGGCACACCACGTCCAGGATACCATCCGCTGCGGTTGTGGCGACGAGACCGCACTCCCCGTCGTCTCATCCATCACCACCCCAGGTCGCTTGTGAAAAATAAGCTAATTGCTCAAGTAAAAGAATGCTCAAGTAAGCTTTACCTGGTAAGATAAGCAAAAAATTAGTTTTTTATTTGCATATTTTCTTTAAATAAGTGATTTGTTCACCTTTCCTATACTTTGCACTCCTATCGTGTTGTTTGCGCTGTTTGTTGTTGTAACGTTCTGACCCCGTGCCCCTACTGGACATCGGTGAAAAAGAGCTTTATAGCTTATCGGATTCCTCCAGCGTAAATAAACATTCTTATTCCAATTCAGCGACGAGACTTATGCCCCTGCTTATAAATTCACGGATATACCTTCTTTTTACAACATTAACATTCAGAACCGGCCAAGAGTTATGAATAATCAACGTAGTTATGAATCATTATCGCGTACATCAACACGAATTTAATTTGGAACCGCTCGTTTTCCGTAAGAATGTTTTGTATGACATTGCAGTGCACGTCCATTGTGCTCAACACCACATTGGACGATATTCGGCCATCAAATCTCCGAAGCTGAGCAGGTTTTTGAACCTGGACATTCTTCAAACCACCAACGCGTGACATGTATTATTTATAGGCTGCTACTGCAGCTGCTTGGGCTACACGATGGGCAGCATAGTGCAGTACAGCAATGGACTTTTTCATATTTATCAACTGCACCGTGGTGAAGTATGGTCAAACACTCCTCATGGACCGCAAGGCGTGGATGTTGGCCCTCATGCGGCACCGGATTGACATGTAGATATTTTGAACAGACTTCACCACGCTGGTCAGTGCGGGTTTGGTCACGGTTGAGGTCTGCAGTAATTGAGGCATGCTGTACTTAAACCAAAAACAATACATTTGGTAGTAATTCATCGCTATCACCAGCCGTGGAGCCTCTCTTAAATTAGTCAACAAGCCTAAGTCTTGAGGTTCCAATGGTGTAAATGCTTACCCCGAGCTCTCATACTCTGATGGTGCATTGTCTTTGAGTTGTGCGCCTTTTGGCGTCATCTGGTCCAACCCATGTGAGACAATGCTCTAAGGAAAGCTGTCTCGGGTGTGGACCAATCAACTTCAAGGACAGTGCATACATTATCAGAGTTATGTTTTTTGTTAGCATTATGACTGCAGGTATTGTGGTCTATGCAAACATGACTCCTTGTAAAAAAAAAAGTGTCAGCTTTGTTGCCAAATAGAAGGGTAAAAAAACAATTATCAAGCCTAAGTCTGTTGCTTCTCTTGTTGGTTAAGACACTGAATGTGAAACCGGCCCTTGCCTATAGCATCTGGCACTTCACCAGCATCGATTCAAGCCAAGCCTGACTCTGCTGCTGAAGAGAACCCGTCGGTCGTAACCCGGTCCAGAGTTGACGTTTTGTTTGTCTGTCTCTCTCTCTTTCTCTCGTCTTGATAGCAACGCTGCTGAAATGACGCAACACACAATTTGCCCGATCTTCTTGGTTCTTTCGGTATAGTCACGTAGAAGGAAATAATAAAATAATAAAATAAAACATAATAAAATAATTCTCACGACGTTTCGGCCACAACGCAAGTAGCCGTGTAGTGGAGGTTAAATTTCGATTTAAAGCTTTCGTGACTGCAGGGATTCATCTTCTTGGTTCTTTCGGTATAGTCACGTAGAAGGAAATAATAAATAACGGCTACTTGCGTGTGGCC